TTTGATCCCTTGAACTTATGCCCAAAGACGTTGAACTTGTAGACTAGCCTGGATCTGATGAGTCACTGGATCCGAGAGATAGCTCAGTGGGCTAAGCACAGGCTTGGCATAAAGTAGGCACAGGTTTGATCTCTGCCATCACATAGTTCCCAAACATCTCAAGGAGCGACCCTTGAGCACAAACCAGAACCCACCCCTGAGCACTGCTGAGTGTAGCCCCCCAAATCAAAAGACCTAAGTGGTCTCGTACTGCCATTGTTAGCCAGATGCAGTCTCTGGACCTGCCGCTCTCCAGACTGGTTTGTGTGAAAGGGCCAAAGGAGAGGGCTCCGGAGAGGAGAGGATTCAGCACTCAGTTCAGAGGCTGGGAATCAGGAGCACGTCTGTACTGCTCCCTCTGCTGAAGGAAGGAAGTCGAGGGTGGCCTGACCGCAGAGCCTCTGCTGGGGTTTGTCTGACCTGAGAGCTCAGTCCTGTGCAGTGCAAATGGGCCTCATCTTTAAAGGTCACAGGGCCAGGGCCACAGATCTCAGACGTGGCCGGGCAGGTTCTGTTCCCATTAGCAAGCCCTTGGCAGATTGTTTTTTTTTTTTTTTTTAATGTAGAAGCACTGCTATTTATTCAGCCACTAGCTTAGCTGATTGAATTGGGCTTGAATTCCATCTTACTTTTTTTTTCTCCATTTTTTATAATTTTATTTATTGAATCAGTGAGAGCAGTTACAAAGCTTTTGGGTTTAAGTCTCGGTCATACAATGAAATACCCATACCTTCACCAGTGCCCATTCTCTACCACCAAAAACCCCAGTTTCCTCCCATCCCACATCCTCCCCCTACCTGTGGGGCAGATAATTTCCACATTATTCTCTTTCTTTACTTTGATTACATTCAATATTTTGACACAGACCCACCACTATTATTTGGGATTTTACCCCAACACTCAGATCTGCTGAAAAGGCAACACTAGACAATTTGTTTTCTATTGCTGGTTATGAATAACATATGGTGTCATGTGGCTGCAGTAGTGGCTGCGTGATTTTGGAATTCCGAAGTTTTAACAATTAAATCTGGAGGGATTTCTGCCGAAACCTGCTGGGTTCCAAGATTTGTTCCTGAGTCTCTTGGATCATGGCCATTAAGCAGCTTGATCAGGAGCCAGAGAGACCATTCGTGGGCAGCGACTCAGGGTCTTGTTGGGATGGGATGGAAAGGGTCGGCTCCACCCCCATCCTTTGAGGCCCCATGTGTCTCATCACTGTGGGCCCAAACCTGACTCTCTAGTGGCCTCTGGAGGATGATGGTCATTGAGCTGTCAGGGGGAACAGGCCAAGGCACGAAACCTGTTCCCACCTGGGGTGGCCCAGTGCCAGTAACCTACTGCAGGGACTGGATGCATTTCTGCCAAAACCGTTGGGTTTCAAGATTTGTTTCTGAGTCTCTGGGATCATAGCCATTAAGCACTTTGATCAGGAATCAGAGAGACCTTGCCTCCAATTATATAACTGAGCCGAGGTGGTTTGTGGGTGTGTCTCCCACATACCTAACTTTTGGCCGTTTCCTTTCTTGGTAAACTTTGCTCCAAGTTTTTGGGGTCTGGCCAAAGGCACAGCAGCAATTTGGGGGTCTGGAAGTCTGAAGGCACCATCATCTGCTGATGCACTTGCCTCACAGGTACAGATTGACCTGCTCGCGGCACCATAGCCCCGAGATTGTGTGTTTGTGTATGTGTGTGTGTGTGTGTGTGTGTGTTTTAAGCCTCGTATCCTTCAGAAGTAACCATTCTTTTAAAAAATTTTTTTCTTTTTTAATTTTTGCTTTTTGGATCACACCTAGTGATGCTCAGGGGTTACTCCTGGCTCTGCACTCAGGAATTACTCCTGGCGGTGCTCGGGGGACCATATGGGATGCCTGGAATCGAATCCAGTTTGACTTTGTGCAAGGCAAACACCCTACCCGCTGTGCTATTGCTCCAGCCCAGAAGTAACTATTCTTTTCTCAAACTGAAAGCTGGGAGGCAGAAGGTCAGAGTCTCCAAAGCACAAGCAGAGCTTTTCTTTTGAATGAGTTTGAAAGTAGCATTTCCTTGGCCACACCAGGTGTTTCCTGGATCCCAGCTCTCTCACACTTTCCTTATGATGAACACGACCCACTGCATTTCCATCGGGCTCCAGCTACAAATGACTGGTGCTTTTCTAACCCCTGTTCACTGGCTTTAGTTCAGAACAACATTCCGTTCCCAGAGTGTGGCGAGCAAGATGTGACCTCTGCAGGTCAGTAGATGGCGGGTTTTCATTTGCCTATTTTGTTGTTCGGCCTTTTTCTGCTGCTAAGGAGATGCATCTTGGCCCATGAGACCTGGCCTGGCTCAGGCTCGGGAAGAATAGACAGGTCTCTGGGTCAGCTCCGGGTGAGCGAGAGACTGCGGTTTCCTCTGTAGAGATTTCAGGCCTTGCAGACCGCCAAGCTGCCTGGAGCGCACCACGCAGCAGGTTACCTTTTGAACTTCCACATCACCAGATTATTTCAGTTTGGGTTGTTTATAAAGCAACCCACAGCACTTCCTTGTCTGTCCATGCCCGGGACTCAGCAGAACCCTGTCATTTTCCCAAGCCCACAGGGCCGGGCTCCGTCTAGGAATCGCCATTGTTCTCGCTCTGGGTCTCTGTGTGTTTTTACGTGTGTTTTTACGTCTCTGTGTGTTTCTACACCCACGAATGCCACATCTAGGAATCTGACTTTCATAGGACTATCTCTCTCTGACTCTGTGTGTGTGTTTATACCTCCACGTACCTCTCACGCACATGTCCCCAGAGACAAGTCACCAGCACTGAGAGAAAAACACTGCCAATATCCTGAAGGCCATCTCTGTTGCTGCACTCAGAAGGCCGAGAACTGTCTTCTCTCAGATGCCGTCCTTGGGCTCTTTCAGAAGGTGCTGCTTTATGCCATCTCTACAAGACCAGGACGCCTCTCTCTGGAAACCACATACACAGCACATTTGTGTACTGCATTTGTTTATCTCAGGACCTTGTTTTCGCCTTCTGTTAACAGTCTCTGTGTGTTTTCCACAGGGCCAGTGATGTGTTTTGTCTTTTTCTTCTCAGAACTAATTTAGCATAAGCCTTTGTTTTGAGAGATGTAATAGCCCGTTTTCATTTCCTTTCCCCTTTAGAAATAGAAAAGGGAGCCTTTGGATGCTGTGCCGGGCTCCTGTTTATTTCAAGGAAAATTCTTGTTGAACTCGGGGTGAGCTCTGTCCAGTTCCTGCCTCTTGGGCTTGGGAGATTCTAAGCGAGGGATCTGGTGACAGATTCATCATCTCTGTACAGTCTAGACGAGTGATCTCACCCTTCAAGCCCCAGGTGTATTATTACTTGCCACCTACCCAGGTCACCTTTGCTGATGTTTTACTGCAATTACTTTTCTCCGCTGGTCCCTGAGACTATAGCGAACAGAATGAAGGCTTGACCTCCTTGAGGTGAGGGAGGGTTCGAAGGTTCAGAGTGCCAGTCCACAGCCAGATTCTAGCCCTGGAGCAAGTCTGCTTTTGCTCCTGGTGTGGAAACCATGAGGAATGTTCCCAGTGTTCTGTTTGAACTGACCTTGCCCTGGCCAGGTTAGCGCCCTGTAAGCAACTCCACACCTCATTGGTTTCCACACCGAATGTTCTGCGACGCCTTTGCTGTGGGTGGGAAAACTCCTCCAAGACTTTTGCAAGAAAATAATGTGTTAAACAGTGGTAGCATATGTCCAGAGATGCGAAATAGTTTTCCTACTCTGTTTATTATGTACATCAACAGGCATTTGAAGCTAATGTTGATGAAACTTGGTTTTTATTTTTTAAAAACAAAAAGAGAAATAAGACATTATTCTGGCCTACCACTCAGTAATCCTTGCTTCTTCTTATTAATATGCTGGTGGGCAGATGCCATGTATGCCTCCCTACGTGTGATCCTTTGCCTCCTTACTTCCCCTTTGATTCAGTTTTTACATCTAGTGGTTCAAAGATACGGGGAGGGCGAGGTGGGAGTTCAGGCGGGCCTTTGTGAGCCTGTTTTCCCAGGAGTTTCAATATACAGACCATAAAGAATTATCTAGGGTTTAGAGAACAGAAGGTAACAATTGCTCCATTGATTTTCAAAAGGCATGGAATCCTGTAGGCAGACCCCCATTAGCCTGTGCCCAGAAAGGAACCAGCAGCTTTTCACTGGTGTACTTGTTAAAGATTACCAGCCTTGATAGTACTAAATTTCAAAAGCCGGCCAAGTTAAGAAAAGAATAAGCAAAAGTAGCAACAATAGCCCAGTGATTGTGGCTTGCTATTGTTCGGGCTTTTTGGAGATCGGGCATCAAAGGAAATTTTCTTCCGATGGTTTGAGATCTAGTGCAGCTAAATTGTTTTGTGTGTTTTCAGTTTCTGGTTATAGAAACAATCACAAATTAATCCCTGGCAAGCAGCATCCTTTTATGGCTACCCCGCTCCCAAAATGTATTTGGAGTCTTGTCTGTACTTAAAAGTGTTATTAATCTTAAAATTATACACAGTTGTTTGCTTCTTTCTTTCCCTCCTTGCAAGTGAGATTGCTTACCAATTTGCTGAAAAGATTGCCAGGGCTTTAAGACCTTAAAGCCAAACAAGCGATGAGTTTTTGGGGAAAAAAAGAATGATTCCATTCTGAACCAACTCCGCCTGCTGGTTCCTTGCTGTGTAGATTCCATCAGTCTTTCTCCTGGGATTTCTGATTACTTTCTCCTCCCACCTTTCATCAGATGTAAGGAAGGGGGCCAAAGGGAGAGCATAGGGCTTAAGGTACTTGTCTTGCATGCAGCTGACCTGGGTTTGAGCCCCAGCATCTCTGTGGTTCCCCCAAGCACAACCAGGAGTGACCACTGAGCTCAGAACAAGGAGGAAGTCCTGAGCACTTCCAGGTACCACCCAAAGCAGCCCCCTTTCTCCAAATAAAAGATGTAAATATGTTTCTTCCTTCTCTCTCCTACCAGGCTATGAACCCTCCTCTTCCCCCGCCTCCTCTCCTGGCCTCCACGCCACCAGGTGCCACTGCCGCTGCCACTGGCCCCGGTCTGGGAGCCCGGCCCAGCACAGGACCTGTCGAACAGATGGCACATTTACGGCCGCAGACTCGCCCCAGTGTGTGAGTGAGGCTGGCCCCTGTTTTTTTTTTTTTTTGGAAGGGGGGAGGGCCCACACCCTGCCCAGGGCTGTGCATTGCTGGGGATTCAGCCAAAGGCCCCACATGTGCTTTGGCTCCAGAGGGTGATATTTCTACTGGACTTAGAGGTTTGGTTCCAACTAAACCCGAACAGCAGAGGTAGAGGAACACCTTTCTTTGGCTGTTGGTTTGTTCTGTGTACACGCCCAGTGCTGAGGGGCAGTTCCCAACTATGCTTGGGGGACCCTGCAGTGCTGGGGACCAAGTCCAGGCCTCTTGAATGTACTTCATGTTGACTGAGCTATCTTCCTGGACGTGACAAATGCCTTTCTGATAGGGAACGGGCGATGGCCTTATGACTCACCAGAGTTTGTGTTGGTTTGTGTTCCGCAACCCTCCACCTCTAGCACAGGAAAGTGCTAGAACAAAATGGAATTCATTTTTTTTTGTTGAAAAAAATGAGGAGCTTTCAAGGCAGCCGTCTTGCCAAGGGAAGGCCCTTCCTAGGGCAGAGAAACCACTGATTTCTGCTTCACAGTGTTGTCCGTGTATGGCCGTTCCCCTTTGGAACAATTCCTATTCAACCATTTGTCTTCATTTTCATTCCTTATAGCATTTCAGGATACTAAGGAATGGGAAGACATTCCCCAAGTTCCAGATCTGTTAGAAACATAAGTGTGAATGGCCCTAAGCTCCCAGCAGGACATACACAGAATGTCCAGTTATCTTGTCCAGAGTTTTTGAGGGCCAAATCCAGCTTTATTTTTGAGGGTCTTTCATCATGCGAATCCATTTATGCCTGGGACAATTGGGAGCTACTGGGGGCTGCCTGAAGGGTTTCCCTGCCATGGTGGCACCACTGCCCACAAGGTAGTGGCAGAGAGGGTTGTTGGGCACCAGGGTCTTTACTTTTCTTTTAACTGAAAAATTCAGCCTCTTTTCTGGGCTGAGTGGACAGGCCTGTGTGCTGGGCTTGTGTGTGGAAGGTAGCACGTTGTCCTTCCCTTTGGGACTTCATGCCAATTCTCTTGTTGGGAGGAAGTATCCCAAATCTAGTGAAAGCCATTGGAAAGACTCAGTTTTCCCAGTAGGATGGGGTCGGAGAGGTAGTACAGTGGGTAGAGTGCTTGCCTTGCACATGGTCGACGTGGGTGCGATTCCCAGCTTCCCATATGGTCACCCAAGCTCAGATCCAGGAGTAAGCCCTGAGCTCTACCAGGTGTGGCCCCTCCCCTCCACCCAAAATTTTATTTTTCCCAATGGGCTCCAATCCCTGGCAGCAACTTGGGTCCTCTGGGAAGCTCTATTAATTCTTTCAGACCCTGCCAGGTCCGTTTGGTGGGACAAATGCTTTCTCACCAGGAAGAGCTGGCTGGTGATTCTTAGTCAGAAAGATTAAGTGTAGGTGGTAAGGTCTCTTTCAGGGCTACTTAGGGACTGAAGAGCTATTGTACCTCTAAGAGGCACGTGCACAAGATACCCAAGTGTGGTACCAAGGAAATGTTGGGGCATCTTGGGGTTTGCTTGTGATTGAACCAGAAATAATATATTTTCTCTTTTCTAGGTATGTTGCTATCTATCCATACACTCCCCGGAAAGAGGATGAGCTTGAACTGAGGAAAGGGGAGATGTTTTTAGTGTTTGAACGTTGCCAGGATGGCTGGTTCAAAGGGACATCGATGCATACCAGCAAGATAGGGGTTTTTCCGGGCAATTACGTGGCACCAGTCACAAGGTACAGCTTTGAATAAATGATTTTCTGAGTTCTAAACAGAGATCCATGCCCTTCTCCATGATTTCAGCCTACCCAAGTTCCTTCTCAAATTATAACATAGCCAACATAAAAAAATAAAATACCTACCCGTAGTTACTAAACTTCCCTCTCTCTCTAAATTCCTAGTTTACTTTTCACATAAATATAGGTAAAATTATAGGTTCCTATTAATAAGTGTACTGGGTTTTGAATTAATTAGTAAGATGAGAAAAGACTTTAACTACATCATGTAATACTTATATGTTTTATGTAATACTTATTATCTTCCAGACAAGCATAACTAACTTAAACAATTTCTTGATATAGATACTATTATTATTCCCACTTAATAGGTGAGGGAATGGAGGCAAGAAAGATTTAATATATAACTTACCTCACCTCACACATGAAGAAGTGCTCAAACCTAATCTGCTTGTAGTTATTCCAAAGAGCTTGAAGATTATTTCTGAATTCTGGCAATTAATTCCTTTAATAGAGTCAGATATAAAGTTCCTTAAATATCAGAGAGATCCCTTCATCTTTCTCCTCTGCTGGTAATTTTGCTTCAGGGGGAGGTTGGTGGTAATTGCATGCATTTTGGACCATCTGGAAGGAGGGAGGGGGGACATTGCTCTTGGCATCTAGTGCTTAGATGCCAAGAAGCTGCTACACCTCTTACAATGCACCTATTTCTGTGGACTCACCCCCATTGAAAGGAGCCCCAGATGTCACTAAAGCTGACAAACCCTGTTACTGCAACATAGGAAGAGCTTTAGACAGACAAAAAAAAATCTTGATTCAGAGTGTCCTTGGAAATGGAGCAAAATGACCTATAATGGCATCAGCATTGAGGGAGGCCCAGGTTTGTGCCACTGGTCTCTTAATAAGTAGTTCAATTTGATTGTGTTCAATCATTCCTTAAACCCCCTGGTTTTAAATAAATAGCTTAATGAACTGACATGTTTGTCAGCTGTTGGCCTTCATTTATAGGTTGGCCAGATGCCTGATCAAATGAAAATCACTATTGTTGCAGATGGTGACAGAATGTTAGCTTTAATTTGACTTGCAGATTTTTTAATCAATAGAAGTTTCTTGCCTGTATATGTTAAAATCTGCATTCAGAACCATTTCGCAGGTAGACCTTCCAGATGAAAAAAATAAACAAAAAAAGCAAAGAAAATCAAACAAAAAATGAAATTAATGAAGGAAAACATTTTCATAATGTTCAAAAGTAAACTATCAATGTCTGTGGAGAGATGATAACTGTAAAGTCACTTATTCATCATAATAAATAAGAAAAACATTCAAGTTAATGAAATATTCCACTCAGTAAAAAGTTTGACATAGAGCTACCATTAAAAATGAATTTAAAGTACTAAATATACAGTTCACAAAACTACAGCAAATCTAAGTTAATTAAATTCAGTGCATGAGTGTTTGTTTAGTGACTGCTCTACCCTGTAACTGGCAAATATGGGGGGAAAAGAAAGAACCATTTCACACTGTTCACACTGGTCCTGCTTTGATGAAATTTTATTGAATCAGAAAGGTACCTGCTCTCTGTCTCTTTCTTTCTTTCTCTCTCTCTCTCTCTCTCTCTCTCTCCTCTCTCTCTCTCTCTCTCCATTTAATAATCCAGGTCTGCAGAAGGAATAAATCCACCAGAAACCCAGTAGAATTATAGGGTCTCAAGTCTGAGGTCTCAGGAAGTTTCTTGAAATGATATGATTTCTGTTGGATCTACAAACATAATAAGATTGAGCTGGGTCAAGTAGAGCCAGAGAGAACATTCCTAGAGTGTTCATATATATCTGTGTGTGTACATGTGTTGGGGGGGAGATGCCAGGGATGTGTGCTGTGAGCAAGAAGGGGAAGGGCAGAAAGTGTGAGGGAAATGATGAGCCTGTAGGTAATGTCATGGAAGCAAACCTGACCTCTTAGCTAGATATAGCAGGAGAATCCAGGCCCTGAAGGTTAGTGCAGGTGTTTGTCCTTGAGATGAAAAGTTGGACCCAGTACCTGCATTTTCTTGAGCAGAGAAGATCACACATCTATGATCTTCTGTGACTTGGAATGCATTTCAAGGACTTCCTTTACTCAGAGCCATTGCCATTTTCTTTGCATTTGTTCTTTTTACATTCTGCAAAAATAATTTCACTCATTTTTTTAAAACTACCTTCTGTCTTGAAACTGAATCAGGTGCCGAGGATGTAGTTCAAATGATATAAAACATATCTTGCGTGTATGTGAGACTCTGGGTTTTATCCTGCACACCATTTGGGTCCCTGAGCATTGCTGGCTATGACCCCAGTGACTCCCAGCATTGCATTGCATGGGCCAACCACCACTGAGAATGGGTACAGGTCCCCCACCACTGCCAAGAGTGACCAAAATGAAAAAAAATTCTTAATCATTTTTCTTGCCTCAAATTGTTCTGTCTCTCATTTTTGCTGATAGATTGTCCTGTGTTTCTGTCTTGACAGGGCAGTGACTAATGCTTCCCAATCTAAAGTTCCTGTGTCTACTGCTGGCCAGACAAGTCGAGGGGTGACCATGGTCAGTTCTTCCACTGCAGGAGGGCCAGCCCAGAAACTCCAGGGAAATGGCATCGTTGGGAATTCCGGTGTTGTCCCCACTGCTGTGGTATCGGCTGCTCACATTCAGACCAGTCCTCAGGCTAAGGTCTTATTGCACATGAGTGGACAGATGACTGTCAACCAGGCCCGCAATGCTGTGAGGACAGGTATTTGATGACTAGTCTGAGAAGTGATCTGGGAAAAGAGGTTGTCTACCTAATCAAAGCTTTGTTGGAGAATAGCAGTTACGTCAGATTAAAATACCCAACAACATTAGGAAGTGGAAGCAAGTCCAGGCTGAGCCATAGTGCTTTACGTCTGTTTATGTTGGCTCATCCCTTCCTGCACATTAATTCAGATCTCAAATACAACTCAAATGTATGAACAATTAGGGCAAGCCTATGAATGGCAGATACTACGACGTCTGTGGTCAAGGTCACATGACCTTACTAGGAACTATGGTGTCTGGGTCAGGATCACGTGATATCTCACTGACGCTGCTGTGTGGCCACACTATGACCGTCTGCTAACTGGAGTGCATGTTGTTTTTTATTAACTCAGTTATGAGACAAGTTGAGATCCAAGAAATGTTTGCTCTGTTCTTCCGATAGCCTTGGAGACCTACCCACAGTTTTGAGTAATAGTGGTGAAGTAAATTTATGAATTCCATTAGAAAAAAAAACAGGAGGCAGATGGGTTAATTTTTTTTAAGGTGGGGCTGGTGGGCAGAGGGTGGGCACTGAGAAATGGGGAAGGGCCAGAGGCCATTGTAGTTTAATGCTGCGGGTTCTCATTTTTAAAAAAAAATTGGCTCTTGTCTGTAGCTCCATAGAAAGGCCTTCTCTAATAAACAGCAGAGCCTCGGCTTATTGCCCGGTTTCCAAGCAATAGACTCCAGAGCTGATCTGGAAGGAAAATGAGGTCTAGAGACCGAGCTCAGATTAAGTGCTTTTCAGCCACCACACATCCATTATTGATTATAATAAGTGCGACCTCAGCCTATCATTATGGTCTGAGGCAAGGAAATGACGCCTGGTTGGGTGAGGAACATTTATCAGAACATTGAATTCCGCTGTTCCCTCCTAGTGGCCGCACACAGCCAGGAACGTCCCACGGCAGCTGTGACGCCCATCCAGGTACAGAATGCCGCCGGCCTGGTCTCCACGTCTGTGGGCCTTCCACATCACCCCCTGGCCTCCTCACAGCCGCCACCCACCATGCCAGGCCCTGCTGCCCACTCCACTGCCGTGAACATGGGCCGAGCCGGCGTGCCCCTGTCCTGTGCCGCGGCTGCCTCGATGACCTCCCCAAGCATCAACACCGCTGTTTTGGAGAATGAGCCCAGCGCTCGGATAGGCAGCGTGGTCTCTGGACTTCCCACCTCTCCCGACACTGTTTCCTCAACTTGTGGGAACAACTCAGCGTCCAAGCCAGACAAAGACAGTAAAGTAAGTCCAGTGCCCTGGGTCGCAGCTTTCCTAGGTCCCGTGGATTCTAGCTCATGGAAGCACACACGGTTCAAGCCCCCTTTACCTTGAGACATGCTTAGCCTGTGGGAGTGACCTGGCCCCTGTGAGAGATTCGTGCATCACTGTGGCTCTGCCCCCAATGGTTGTCGACATCTGTGTGGGAACTAGGGAGCCCACAGTGAATAAGACTGAATCACCCTCCTGATGGAGGAATTCCCCTTCCTCTTTGTCATCCTTTTTGCTCTCCTTAATTCTTCCTGTGAAACCTGTTATTCTTCTGCTTAACTGTTCTCTGAAACAGACATCTCATATACCTGTTGATCAGAAGTGTTAAGTGTGGATTTTTTTCATTTGTTTTTGTTTGGGGGCCACACCTGGCAATGTTCAGGGCTGACTCCTGACTCTGCACTCAGGGATCACTCCTGGTGGGCTTGGGAGACTATCTGGGGTCTCATTGAATCCAGGTTGACCGTGTACAGACCGGCATCCTATTGCAACACTATCATACCAGCACCTGGAGTGACTTTTTCTGCTATCTCTTTGACTCTAGTCCACCTGGATGATTTTTAACTTGCCTTGAAATTTTGGGTAAAAATTTTTGTCTAAATTGATAGATCTGTTAAAAGTCTCTCCTTTGGAACTCAATTGCAAAACAACATAGAAATACAAAAGTCTGTGTTGGAAACCCTAACGTAGAGTTGAATCTGAAGACAGGTGGTTGAAAGGAGATTAAATGTGGACAGATAGAGAAGAGTGAAAACCAAGTCTGGATAATTGTATAGTTGCCACTTTCTCCTCCATCTTTTGTGCATTTCCTCTACAGAGAGAACCCAGTTCGGAGATGCTGTAGGGTAATCACAAACGCTTAGCCACCTGCATTGTTGGAAATACTGGTCACTTTAAATAATTTAAGTCTGTGGATTGGAGTTTATAGGAAGAGAAACTTTATAGCCCAACAAAAGGTTAATATTTAATTGTTGGGTTAGCATGAGCTTTGTTTGAAAGATGGGTATCGGTTCAGTTTATAATTAACTACATTAAACTTGTACTCAAAATAACATTTTTATGTTTTTTTCATATCTATAAAGAATTGTTGTTGTAATTTAAATTTTACAGTTCTGGGACAGTGTGTCTCAGGGCCTGTCTGTCACTGAGGAGAACAAAGACTCCTCAGCCTTGGGCCAGAAGGAAAAGAATTTATTGAATCTCCAAGGCTTGAGAGGAACTCATGCTAGACAGAGTAATGGCTCCCCGGAGAGGTCTGTGTCCTAGTTCCTGAGACCTAAGAAAATCTTTCCTTGCCTGGTTAAAGGGATTTTACAGATGTAGTTAAATTAAAGATTTTGAAATGAAGGAATTTCTGGATTATCTGGGTGGCCCCAATAAACTTGCAGATATCTTTCTAAAAGGGAGGCAGGAAGGAAGCTTGGGTCTAGAGGACATGGGGCATCAGAAGCAGAGACCTGTGACTCTAGCGAATCTGGACCCAGCAAGAGAACACATTGTTATCTGGGGCTTCCAGAAGGAGTGAAACTCGACAGCTCCTTGACTTAAGGGCCTATGTTTTTCCACAGAGTATGTGGTAATTTAGCAATGATGACTACAGCACCTCACAGGATATCCTGTTTGGGGCCCATCATTCCATAGTTCACAGAGGCCATTGGCCTCTATTTGGACACATTTCTAAGGACTGGTACCTGGCTCCAGAGCAGCCAAGCCATCCACAGACCCATAGGACTCCTTACCTCTGTGAGAGCTGATGTACATATGAAATATGTATTTAGTCCATATGTTTATATCTCCTTGTACCTTCAAATATATATATATATGTGTGTATATATATATTCTTGTACCTTCAAATACTATATATTAATACTATATATTATAAATGGGCTGGAGCATTATAGCACAGTGGGTAGGGTGTTTGTTTTGCATGTGGCCGACCCAGGTTTGATTCCTCTGTCCCTCTCAGAGAGCCCGGTAAGCTACCAAAAGTATCCCACCCATATGGTAGAGCCTGGCAAGCTCCCCATGGTATATTCGATATGCCAAAAACAGTAACAACAAGTCTCACAGTGGAGATGTTACTGGTGCCCACTCGAGCAAATTGATGAACAACAGGAGGACAGTGCTACATATATTATAAATACTATGAATACTATATATTTAGTATTTGTATCTTGCACCTTCAAATAATTTTTTAGGTTTTTTATTTTTATTATGCATGCATGTGTGTGTGTGTGTGTGTGTGTGTGTGTGTGTGTGTGTGCGTGCCTCACCCAGACATGGTCAGGGCTTACTCCTACCTCTGCACTCAGGGATCACTCCTGGCAGGCTCAGGAGACCATATTGGATGCCAGAAGTTGAACCCAGGTTGGCTGCATGCAAGGCAAACTCCCTATCCACTGTACTATTATCACTCCAGTCCCAAGTTTTAATTCTCTTTATCTGAAGCACTGTGAAGGGCCACTTTGCAAATATTAATCTTTTTTCCAAGTGGTGTGGTCAGGTATTTCAGGTATTTCTCTTGAAAAGCTTTTTATTTACTTTTCATAATTTATTTATCTATTTTAGTTCTGGGTATCATACCTGCCAGTGCTCAGAGTTTTGCACTTAGGGGTCTCTCCTGTCACGGCAGGATGAAGGGGTGCATGTATGGGGTGCTGGGCCTTTAAATTGAGTGGGCTTCCAGCAACGTAAGTGCCACACATGCTCTACTATCTCTGCACCCTTTTTATCTATTTTTTAGGTTGTACTTTTGAAGCTCTTTTCATGATTCCTCGTTTCAGATTTCAAATGTTCCTTTCCTAAATCCATCACCTCAGTTAATGTTAAAAGACTTTCTAAGGAAACTTTCCCCAATTGATATAAAGACTGAAATTCTAGCATTATCGCATCTGGAGTACCGTTTTGCTCCATCATGTCTGCAAGACTATCAAGGAGGTCACATCAGATGTTGAGATCTAAAGTGTCTTACATTTTGTCATCCAAAACATCACCGCTTCCCCTCCATACTTCTGCTGTTAATTATCATTAGCAAATATCTCCTGGAGAAGTCTTCTTCACCTCCTCATTTTCTTCCCTATGTGTACCTTTCATTTAATACATTGTTCTGGAATTTTCTGGGTGCTCTGTAAAGTGCATTGTTCTTTCTCCTCCCTTTCTCTCTCTCTCTCCCTCTCTCTCTCTCTCTCTCTCTCTCTCTCTCTCTCTCTCTCTCCCCCCCCCCTCCCTATTTTTCTTTGTTTTGCACTGCAGGCTCAGCAGTTCCCCAGGGGTTATTTCTGGTGTGGTGAGGATAGGCTTCAGGATTCCCACGTACAGAACGTGATCTCCAGCCCCCAGCCACATCCCAACTTGCACCTTCATATTGATTATGGAGACTGCTTATGCACTTCTTTAGCCTGTTGAATTGACCCTCACGCCAGATTCACCAGAACCTGTCCAAGGTTGTATTCTGATTGTTAACTTTCTCGGCACACTGTGGAAAATTCATCCAAACTGGTACTCATTTGCTCTCTAAATTCCAGTCTCTTCTCCTCTCCTCAAAGTTTTAATTTTCCTCTCCTTTCTGTATGTTATCCTTAACTTTCTTCATCCCCTTTGAGAACCACCATCCACCCCAAACTGCAGATGGATGTCTTGCTCTTATTTCAAACATAACTTTAAAGCACGTCTTCCCACACTTTTTTCCTTAGTCGTTAGCATTTTTGCAAGTTTAAGCTCATTTTGATCTTTAGCTTTCTTGAAATGCTGTGGGCCATGTTAGGTTCTTTCTTACAGATTCTTCTCTTGATCTTTTTGTGTTTGTACTTTAAAAATTTGAGCCCATTAGGCTGCTCCCAGGGGAACCATGTCAGACCCCTTAGATGCCTCTGCATTTTCATCTGCTGGGGTGATTTGCAATTGTATGGTTAGATTTTCGTTTTGGAGAGCCATCCTATACCTCTTGAAGTTTCTTTCCTTTTGAGTTTCAGGCCATGCATATATTTTCTTTGAAATTTTAAAATCAATGCTTTGAAACTTGAGAGTTCAAACCTTAACTGTAGCCTGCATCTCTTTAGGCGCTTACTTCCAAGTTCTCAATATTTCAGCTTCACCAGGCCACCCTCTCCACCCTCTGCTTGATCTCTACCTTTCTCCAAGTTGCTCAGTTGGATCCAAAGTAGCAATTTTCCCAGCTTCCTGGAAAAAGGAGAAGGTGCAACAGAGACAGATTCTGAGGGGATCACAGATTCGATCTTACTTGAGGCTACAATCCATGAGCCAAGTATTTGACCATTCCTTTATTAGTATAGTTCATTAGCTTAACCTCTAAAGACGATGCAGAGGGGCTAGAGCGATAGCACAGCGAGTAGCGGGTAGGCTAGCGCCTTGCACGTGGCCGACTCGGGTTCAATTCCCAGCAACCCATATGGTCCCCTGAGCACCGCCAGGAGTAATTCCTGAGTGCAGAGCCAGGAGTGTCCACTGTGTATCACCAGGTGTGACCCAAAAAGGAAAAAAAAGAGGATGCAGAGATCCCCCAAGTGATAGCTTACAGGTGCCCCCTTCTTTCTCATGCCCAGGTGCTTGCAGTACTCTACTCATGGTGTTCCATAGAGGCATCTGACTTTTCCATGTACACACAGGAAGCTTGGTCACCTCACCAGGCTCAGCCATTCTTCTTGTTGTCTATTGGTTTATTCTCTTCTGGTGGATTTGGAGGGGGGTAGGATGTGTGATGGGTGGGGGCAGTTTTTGGACCAAAATACAAGATACTAGGGCTTTCCTTAGGCTTTGTGTTCAGAGATTTCTCCTAGGCAGTGCTCAAGGAACTGTATATAGTGCTGGGGGTTGAATTGGGGTTAACTGCATGTAGGGTAGGCACCTTACCTCTACACTCGCTCTCTCTGTGGGCGGCTCTCTTTGAATAATATTTGATTTGGATGTCCATCTTACAAAGTCACAGAAATGTGTTTTCACCACTGACTTTAAAA